GAAATTCCTTTAGCATTCACTTACATAAAATGAGTACATCTGAGGAAATCGCAACTAGTATCATTTTTTTCATTTTTCTTTCTTCTTTCAACAAACCAACCTTCCGTACATATATAAAATGAATGGCAGGAACAAAGATTTGTCAATCACTTACAGATGTAAAATAACTTGTCTCCTTTCCTACTGTATTGCATTTTATATTACAACCTGTTCCTTTCTGCACTTAATTGTTGAAGACTAAGTTTGGAAGTTCTCCAAGGTTGCCTCAGTGAAAATTTCGAAAATAGAACTTCTATATCTGTAGATGAAATAATGTAGTTTAATAAATCATGCGACTTGATGTCATTTACGCTGTTATTGAGGTTTTGGCTAAAAATAGCTAAGAACCAATCTTCTCTCGAGGAGAGATCGATTGTGCCAATCTGCGGATGCGTAAACAACTTACGCTCCTCCCTTCACAAAACATGTTTTGCGAAAACAGAAAACAGCAGAAAAAAAATTTTTGCACAGCAGGGGAAGGGGGCGGCCATTTAATTGAAATTTTTCTTTTAAGTCAGCGCTATCTTTGACTGGCGTAATTTAGGTTTCTTTTAACTTCATCTCCTTTCTCCGCTTCTTTTTAACGTTTCTGCTGACGCTTATGCCACAACTTTACAGATCTACCCTACAAAGCAGTCACAATCAAAATGAGCGAACAGGTAAAATATGACTAGCTCTTTCTTCCTGAACTATCAAATTTTGTGCTGGTTGGAATTTAGATAGAATTCTTGCAAGAACTTGGCAAAAAGGCTAGAGAAATGCCGCCAGAGCAGCAAGAGAAAATGAGCGATACAGGCAAAGCTCTAAAAGATGCTGCTGAAGTCGGTTACGATACGGTAGGACTTTCTCTAGCAACGTTCGCAAAGGTAAGTCTCTTCTTATTTAGAATAACCCTGAAGAGGACGTCAAAAGTGTTTTGGACAACATGGCGGAAAAGTTGACTGAAGTGAAAAAAGGCGTTCGTTCACTATTACTTTCTTATGAAAATGATGTATGTGGAAATTTCCTTTTGTTCAGGTTGGGCGAGCAAAAGAGGCGTTGGGCAAGAGGCAGTCTCAATAAACCATTAAACCATCTTATTTTTGCAGTCATTGCTAGTATACTGTCGCCTTGATTTAATTTATAATTTTCTTACATTTACTCCCGTATTCTCTCCCGTTCAAAGGAGAATGTTATCTTCTACCCATTGGGACTAGCCAAATGTGTAGTAGTAATGTATATAGTGTCACATCTGTAAATTATCCTTTAATGAACTGTATTCATTTTTACATTTATAAGTAGAACAACTTCTTTGAACATTTTACATATCTGCGCAATGTTTCCTCCATACAATGACATAATGGAAGACATATATCTGCTTATAATAAATGTGTAAAATGGCAATACGGGGATGATCCATTTCGTTCTTGTTTGTGTAAATTACTTTTATTGAGAACCTGCATTTCTTGTGTAGAGATTGATTGCGTTCGGGAGCATTTGCTTCTAAACTCATTAGAAAGGGTTTTTGAAAATATCATTGTCAGTCAAGTTATGTAGTGCATGAGCATCGATAGTAGATATTTTATACAGAAATCTCTTTA